GGGGGGGGGGGGGGGGGGGGGGGGGGGGGGGGGGGGGGGGGGGGGGGGGGGGGGGGGGGGGGGGGGGGGTTCCCGTGGGGCCATTCGTCACGTGCTTCGGGTCTCCCTCGAGACGGAGCACACCCTTGGCATAGAGACAACCGCAATTTCGGGGTCTGTTTGGGGTTGCTGCCGTCGATAACAACAAAACAGCAACAAACTGCTGTTGGTGCTACCGCCCTTTTCCCCTCCCGCTTCCCCCCCTAACAAAACGCTATCATTGTGTCACACACAGTACGATTGTGTCACACGCAGTACCATTGTGTCACACACGGTACCATTGTGTCACACACAGTACCATTGTGTCACACACAGCAGGGTCGTCCTATTCGTTTTCCGACCGACCGCTCGTGTTCCCCGGTCGCCTCGCCACCCGCGAGGAGCTGCTGCACCTCCACCGCGACCACTGAGTCGATATAACCCACCTTCGGGCAGCACGCTCCCTTTCTCTCTCTGTTTCTTTGGGGCTTGATGTGTGTGCGTGTGCATGAACGGGCTGTGGTATCATGAATCCGAAGCCGCCAAAATTACAAGAAAAAACACTCAAAAGATCATGTCCACGGTCTACGTTATGGACAGCGCTGTAGTCCGCCCGTGAGGCAACGAAAGAGACGCGCCCACGAAAAAAAAAAGATGTTCCACTGCGTTGACGTATCCCGGTACAAATGGGGCGTTGGCCAAAGTGTTGTGTTGTGTGGTGGCAAACTTCAACACATGAACCGAAACCGTTCGCGCCAACAAGGAAAGCACTTCCAAGACAAGCAGGAAACAGAGAAAGAGGGTCAGGGCACGTCGACGACAGGCCGTGTTGCAAACCCATTTGGGTACGTCGATCAGTCCACGCCCCTTGCCATTGCCCCACCCGCCCCGTTCTTTCCTCCTCCTTCAATCACATGTCAAGGTCCGCGCCGTCGTTTCCGAAGCCGTTGCTGCTGGAGCCGAAGACTCGGAGCGTGCTTCCCTTCGGGATCATTTCGGGCAGCTGCTTCATCAGGGTGCGCTCCAGAGACGCGCGCACCTTCTCCCGCTTCTCGCCGAAGTTCCGTGAAGGGAGAAGGCTGGGGAGCAAGGCGCTCATCTGCCGGAGGTATACAACATGTAGCAGCAATTTAGAGAGGAAACCAATCGTGGGGACAAGGGGTAGTCAAACAAAAAAAAGCAACGAGGGGGAGGGGGAGAGGGCTGGGGGGCCCGGCGCCCATCTGTCGGGGGTACACAATAGCGTTAGCGAGGACACCAACCGCGAGGGGGGTAATCAAACATACAGAGAGAGAGGGGGGCGGGGGGTCCGTGAAGGACGCGGGGGGAGAGACAAGGGAAACAAGATGCGTATCTGTGCGCTCGTATGTGCTTGGGATACGCTCGTCCCGAAGCCCAGCGAAGGGAAGGAGCGGTGGCCTTCGTCAGCAAAGCGTAGGCACGTTCGGGGAAGGAAAATTGATTGGAGGATTGGGGGTTCAGGGGGGCGCCAGAGAAGGAAAGTTTCCTGCCATCCACCCCTCACCGCCCCTCGCTACCGCTGGCGTCTACACTCCCAGTTGCGATGTGCCCTCGCTATCCCTCTCGCCCTCCCCCCCTCCAAAAAAAAAGCACATACTCGACTCAAGCAAGAAACACACCANCCGTTTCCAATAAGGCCGGGTGCCCTCTTTAAGGCCGGTCATTTCGTCTGTCACAGGGCGGCCTTAAACAGGGACCCCTCCTGTACCAACCTTTTTGTCCAGTTGTACTTCCCTTCTTCCTCTCGCTGCCTCGGCAAGGTTTTGCTTAGGCATGACCCATAGCGAGGGGGGAGTTTTTCTAGCGAGCAGGGCTAGACTCACCCTCAAGGGACCGATACCTTCTTGCTGCGGCGCACCCGCCGCGAGGCGTGCGTAGTGGTGGAGTTGGGTCGGCACTGGTGCGTCAGGTACAAAAGGTGCAGATGCGCGGGCCTCCAGGCCGTCAGTGTAGGCAGCAATGCCCATGTCATCTTTGTGCGCGGAGGCAGACGCCATCAGAAAGGTGTACGGGCACTATGCACACGGCCCTAGGTTTGCTAGAGGGAGCTGTACTGTCTCAGTAACCTGGCTTTGCCATCAAAGGAGGAGGGGACAGGTGGTGACGAGCTGATTGGGCTGGTTGACCCTTCGGCGCGAGAATTTTCAGACCAAGAACCCTAAGTGCAACGAGGGAGAAAGCGAGGAACCGACTGGGGAGGACAGCAACGAGAGCGTGTACGAAGCGGAGCGGGTCGAGTTTGGTCGTTGTAGGACTGGCCACAGCGGCACCGGAGAAGCGGCACCGGAGCAGCGGAACCGGAGCATGCGGACGGCATCGAACCGTGACGCACGAACAAACGTCTTCTGTGTTGTCAATTATTTTCCGTTTTTTTCCTGAGTTGAGGTGTTGGGTGTGTGTGATGACGTCACTGGTTTTGTAGAGAGACGCGGCAGAGATGTCGCGGATAACCCGGGTGCCTTAATTGTGTACCTGCATCGTGGAAGACCCCTTCAACGTGCAACGATTCCTAGTCAGTGTCGATGTTTACACTGCTGTGTCTAACACAAATGATCTGGATAGATTCGGGTGATTGTCAATTGCAATGATGGCTTTGGTTGGTTGTTCTTCTTTATTGTATGTCCACGGACTCATTCTGACAGCACTTCAGACAGCAGCTGCACGCCCCGAGCTTGTGTTCCATGCACCATGGTGTTATTATTGGAAAGACAGCACTTCAGACAGCAGTACGCTGTAGTCGACAAACGTTCATTTTGGTTGAGTGCGGGACAAGGCGGGTGATGCTGCTGTAGTCAAATTGTAGTGTGTGGGCGTGTTGTTCGNACTCATTCTGACAGCACTTCAGACAGCAGCTGCACGCCCCGAGCTTGTGTTCCATGCACCATGGTGTTATTATTGGAAAGACAGCACTTCAGACAGCAGTACGCTGTAGTCGACAAACGTTCATTTTGGTTGAGTGCGGGACAAGGCGGGTGATGCTGCTGTAGTCAAATTGTAGTGTGTGGGCGTGTTGTTCGGTTGTGAGCACGCAAATGTGCTGCAGGGATTGTAGGTGTACCTCCTCGGGCTTGGGTATCCTTTTCTTGATAGTAGTGTGCGTGTTCTTTAGATCTTCTCATGGCTCTAGCATTTTTGTGACCACGGGCCGAGTCTTTGCTAGATTTTGGGAATAGCAACTGACACGAGTTTAATGTGAAGAAAACAACAACAACAACAACAACAACAACAACAACAACAACAACAACAACACCCCGCGGTTATTACGAAAACGTTCTTGCTTCTATGGATGAATATTACCGATACAAACCTGATCTGTTAGAGAACGCAGCACGGCCTGGTCGATGTCCTCCAAGCGCGCCTCGCTAGGGGTGAAGCCGAAGTCGTCCTTGTAGTGCTTGGCCAGGGCCTGTGGGGTTTCGAAGTAGTGCTCCTCGAAAAGGCAGAAGGTGCTCTACCAAAGAAAAAAGACGAAATTGGCGAACAACAAGGTGGTAAAAAAAAAATACACGTGAGGTATTGTACCGTGCCCAGGAACAAGACGAAAATTGACAAAAAAACGGATGAACATACACACGTGAGGCAATGGAGTAACGAAACACCCACAGCAGTACAGCAGCAGAAGAGGGTGCAAACCGCCTTTGACTTGGGACACCATCCAAAACGAACGGGTTCAAGACACGCAGGCTGAATAGAAGGGCCAAGGGCTTGTGACAAAGCACGGTATTGCTCAACGGGTGCAGCACCTCTGAGGAGTGGATGCAACGCCTCGTCGACAACGAACGAACTTTTGTCACAACCAGCAAACGCCCCGCTTCACAACGACGACGACCCTCCACCTAACCTGCCAGAGCCTGCACACCGCCACGCAGGGCAGGCTGGCCCCCTTCCTGTTGGTGTTGAACGGGTCCATCTGCGGCGGGGCTTGCGCCAGGAGAGCGCCGGCCGCGGGGTTCTTCACGATGGCGTTCAACACGCACCACACGGCCCCTGCAATCGGCACATGGATACGAGAGAGTGGGGGTAAAAAATTGTGGTATGGTATTTACTTAACTCAGGGTTGATCGTAGATATGTATGCACCGGCGTTGAAAATGTTGTACCTGAACAACCTACGGTACTCGGTTGCAACCTTACTCAGCAAGCGGTCCCAAGACACAGTACAGCAGTACCCCACACACATCACCATTGACTCCGCCTCTCAATCTCGTTCCTGCTCATCCGGCTGATTAGCATCCAAGCTCATAATCAACCTACGACAGTGCACATATTCCAGCGACGTGGCCTCAAGAACATCTTTACATCGGCTTCAGGAGCGAAAACTACCGCCCTCCTCTCTCCCCTACCCTACTCTTTCTCCCAACTCTATGTCTTGGTCTCTATCTCTCCCCCCCCCCCCCCTGTCTCTCTCTCTCTCTATCTCTCTCTCTTCCTCCCTCCCCCTGCATATCTCCCTCTCCCCCCGTCTCTCTCTCCTCACCGTGCACAGCTCTCAGCTTGCGGTCGTCAGCGGCAGAATCCTTATCACGGCTCGCCGTCCCACCACTACCCTTGCCAGAAGACGTAAGCTTGACACCCTTCAGCTGCTTGCGGGCCGAAGTCACGGCGTTCCACAGCGCGCTCCCCACCGAGCGGCTGTACCGCTGAGGCGGGGCGGTCTGCGCGCGGCAGGGGACAAGAGGGTAGGGGTAGGGTCGACCACGACAACGCCATCGATGTCGATATGTACCGAATTGATATATATGCGCACGGTGGCCGCGTATGCATGCCCCAGAGAGTGGGCGCACTCGTGTAAACGCATGCCGGGAAGCCACTAGACCATTGACCTTGGGTCCCTGCAACAACGCAGGGACGAAGCGACATACCATATATGACACAAGATGACACACCCCCTGGACTAATTTTCAAAGCTCGATTACGCAACGACAAAGAGGATGTATGAATGAAACCATACATTTTCGGCAAGCTCTCGACGAGACAGCTTCAACGTCACCGTTTTCCGCGCTGTGACTCTTTCTTTTGTTGAAAAATCGAGATTTGAAAATTGGTCCAGGGGGTGTGTTATCTTGTGTCATTTACGGTATTTCCGTCGGCCAAGGCCACCACGTTTCACAAGGATGAACCAAAAGCTTGGTTATCATCATTGCGTTTTGCTGTGCCAAACCAGATATGCCACGGGCGCATGCCCAACAGGAGGGAAACGAAAATCAGGAGAGGAGAACGGGGGCCGGGGGCAGCACGCCTATGGAAGAGCTAGAGGCGTGGGCACGTTGTGTGATCCTTTCGAAGCAAGGGAACCAATAAGCCGCCAAGAGCCAAGCACACGAGCAAGCGTCACCCTCACTTGGCCGTATGTCGGGAATACGAACAACGACAAGCGTCACCGCCCTACCCCCCCCCCCCCCCCCCCCCCCCCCCCCCCCCCTTTCTTGCCACCCGTCGACAGGCGCTACAATAGGAACCAACAACCAACCCAACCGCCACCGCAAACACGAACCTCGCCTCCCCCCCATTCTTCCGCCGCCATGCCTCGCTGCTCACCTCGAGGTGTCCCAGCAGGTGTGACAGCTGGGCGAGTGCCCCCATGACCGAACCCTTCCCGTCGGTGCTGCGGAGCTGGTTGAGGACAAACCTCAGGCTCAGCTCCACGTCTCTCCCCTGCGCGTCCACCTGCCACGCGTGGCTCGTCGCCAGGGTGCCCACCGGATCGCTCGCGTCGTAGATGCGGAACACGAACGACCCGACCTGCGCGTAAAAGCAGTTTGGAGTTGTTGTAACAGACACATTTTTTTGTTTGTAATACGCCACAGGGAGAAGGCGGCGGGGGGAAATATACAACACCTGTGTGGTCTTCTTCTTGTGTGGCCCCGGCTGGTGCGCCCAGAATTGTACCCAAAGGTAAAGGTGCGAGGAAGGACCGCGGTCCAGAAGAAATGAGATCATGACAAAAAAACATGTCTTCCCATCGCGGTTGCTGATGAGTTGTTAGTCTTTTATTTTAGCCTGTGTGCTTAGGTTTCCGTGGTGTTGATTTTATTTTTTGTAACCGCTGTAGGATTGACATTTCTAAAGGCTCACTTTCTCGACATCTTCCACGCACACACACATGAACATGAAAGAGCATTCGTCAGACAGATCTGATCGGATAGCTTGATTTAGTAAGCGGTCGATTGGTCCAATCACATCGGCCGACATGTCGAGGCAAACAAAGCAAGGGGTCAGCCACGACCTGCTGAGAGGGGGGACACACGCGCGAAATGAGGGGCGGCTTTCAACCCCCCCCCCCCCCCCCCCCCCCCCCCCCCCCCCCCCCCCCCCCCCCCCCCCCCCCCCCCCCCCCCCCCCCCCCCCCCCCCCCCNCGATCGGCCATCGGTGATCGGTCCGGCGGCAACAGTGCTCCATCCTCTCGAGGACGCGTGGTTAACGGTCCAATCGCTAAGGCATGCAAAACATGAGTACCCCCCCCTCCCCCCCCGCCCACTCCGCCTACCCCTTGCCGGGAAACCAGCAGCCTTCGCAGGTCTTTTCATTCAGGTAAACATGTGCGATAAAGCATGTACTCGGGGAAGTTGGGTTGTGGGTTGAGGATACAGAGTTTGCGTACCCCCCCC